CAGCAGGTGAACCTTTCAGAAAGTACCCAGATTAAATTCCTTTATTAAAACTAGCATGCAGGGCCACTGTGGGCAATGGGAGTGACTACTAACGAAAAATAATGCCAGTGAATGATGAATTACCTCTGCTGATGAATTCCTGCTTAGTGGGAACACAGAAGCTCAGCAATTACCTGGAACGGAAAGAGCACAGCGTATTACAGTGTCTTACACTGTCCGATATCCTTGATGCCTATGAGAGTTCAGTGGCAATTACCCTCTGGTGTTTAGACCATTTCACCCAAATTCCATCCAATGAGCTTGACTAGATGTGAGGTAATAAACCACCGCAGAATGGACACTCGCAATGACTTGCATCGGGTGATGCTACATTTTATGCTTGATGTGTCACTGAAGCAGTTCAGATGAAGCGACGTTCTCACGGGAGCACCATCATGGAGCATCGTGAGCAGGAATCTGCAAGACCAGGACCAATTATGAGCTCTGTGTGATGGGCCTTGATTAGCCTGTGTGCAAGAGATATTGATTAAATCTCCTCATTTAGCAGGATTGCATTATTTCCTAAGCAGGAGATATTGATTACATATAGGCTACTTGGTTAGATGGTTGTGACTAGTTGCTAAATGAGAGATTACTGTACGTGTTCTGGGCCCCCAGTCAATAAATGAATGTGTGAGGAAAGTGATTTAATTAAAGCAATTTAGCAGAGATCAGGATCCCTGGTCGTCTGCTGCACTTAAATGCTGTTACCTTAGTCTAAAAAGGTAAAAAAAAAATCTTATAATATTTCATAAAATCACATAATTTATGAAATATTGATCTATTGGTGTGAATTCCTGGCTGAAAATCATATACATCTTCTTCCCGCTGGACCACCAGCATAGATTATTGAACGAACAAGTCAATCTTATGATGGCTGATGCTACACATATTACAGTTTTTCTCGATTGCTAAAACACTATAACCAATCTTTTGAACTAAAATTTCAAAACCATAATGCTATTTTTCAAAAAGCACACCCATTTCCCTGAACTATAAACACTATTCCCCTGCTTTAACACGAGTCAAATTTGGTGAACTGTTACTGCAAAACTCTACACAGAA